AAGAAAGAAAGAAAGAAAGAAAGAAAGAAAGAAAGAAAGAAAGAGAAAGAAAGAAAGAAAAAGAAAAGAAAAGAAAAGAGAAAAGAAAAGAAAAGAAAAGAAAAGAGAAAAGAAAAGAAAAGAGAAAAGAAAAGAAAAGGGAAAAGCCTCTGTTGTCAATTTCCTTTCTGGAGGTTTAACTCAATGTGGAAGACAGAGCCTCACTAATAAATACTTTGGTTTGCTGGAAAGCAGCGTTCCACATACTGGGGTCTTTGCAGAGGTTCAAAAAAGCTGCCGGGGCCATCCGTCCTCTGCGTGGACCCCTGTGCCATTGGACCAGACACGTGATGATCACCTGCTCTGCCTTCTTCCCTGGGTTTCTAGGCACGTATCTGCTGGCCCAGGCCTGTGTCTCCTCCTGTCCTGAAGGCACATGGCCCTCGGCGAGGAGTGGCCACTGTGAGAACTGTATGGAGGACTGTACCTCCTGCTCTGGAGCCGATCTCTGCAGAACGTGCCGGACGGGGCCGGACTTCCCTCTCTTCCTCCACGAAGGCAGGTGCTACACCAGGTGCCCTGAGTAAGTGTCCCTCTTCCTTCCACGTCCCGCTCGGGTCCATTCTCCTGCTGTACTTGGAGGGCAATTCCTTCTTGCACCAAAGGACGCCTCCCCGTCCTGGTTACAGAGCCTATGGAAGTGTCCCCTCGACATGCAATCGCTGTTGGGCAAGGCAGCCAAACCAGTCCCTTGTGACTGTGATCTGTACGTGTTTTTGACCTTTGCGAAAATACGCTCTTTTTCCACCTTGTGGTTATGATCGAGGAGTTGTCTTCCTTCCATGACAAAAGTTAAGGCTGTGAATACATGAATCTCCTCTTAAATGTTTACAGTAGGTGAGGTGTGAGGTATAAATAATAAATATGGAATCATACCTGGTGAATTATTGATTGGTTCCTCCTGGTGCCCTCAGTCCTCTGGTTTATAATTCCTTTTCTCTTCCCATCAATGGGTCCAGCTCCAGGATGTAAAAAGGAAGTGGAAACAGCACATGGAAAAGTGTGTCTGGGAACCTTCAGGGACATGAAACAGAAATTCTAAGTAGAATGACTGAGACAATGTGGGGTTTATTATCTCACGGAACAAAAAGGTTAAAATCCAGCATTGGTTACATCAGCAGCCAACACTTCATTAAAGACCCACAATCTTTCTGTTTTGTCCTTGAATCTTCTTCAGCTTGTCCTCCCCTGAGCCCCTGAGCCACGTTGTCTCCAAACCTCACCAGCCCACACGACAACAACCAGAGAGAGAAAAGGGCACGTTTCTCCTCCTCCATCTCTTTTTAAAAGGAAATAAAACTTCCTCTGACTTCCCTTCACATCTCATTAGCCAGAATGCTTCACTTCCGTCTTCCAAAAATGATCTCTGGCAAGAAGGATGGAAATAGAAGGATCGGTTTAGGCTACACAAAATTCCCCCCTGCATACCCAAATAAAATCAGAACACTGTCAGGCAGGAAGACTGGAAAGAGGGAGGTGAGGAAGGGGTTTGGGGAAGTGACCAACAGAATCTGTTTGAAGCAATTAGAAATTTCCCACTGATTAAAAGAACTTGATGGTTGAGCTACAAGATCTATGAGAGAGGTAGACCATTCGTGTCTGTATCCACTGATGAAATAGATCCTACAGGGTAAAAACATAAGTCAGGGTACTCAGGAAACTTCCAGCCCAGTGGAGAAGCCAAGCATATTCAATTCAGTTCCGCAGATAAATAGTTAGCACCTACTAGGTGTAAGAATTGACATCAGAAGCTAAGTTATAATCAACTGAAGTTTCTCCATTTGGTCCTAAAAAGCTAAGATACTACTGTATAAGGGAGCCTGGTCTTAGCTTTCGTCTGGGTACGATTTGGTTCTCCAAATTTTCTTCCGTAAAACTACATTGGATCTGTAACCTTTATTCACCCCGTCCCATTTCTTCCTGATACAGTCAATACATTTTTGTTTCCTGAATAAATATAAGAATGGCTGAAAGAATGATGAAACAGATGTGAATGAGTTAATTAAAACACCAAGTAAAGATGCCGTATAGGATCCCTTTTGGCATTGATTCAAAAAGGACTCTAGCAGACTGAGTTATTTGCTACAATCCTTCACCTCTCCAAGTACCTGTGCCCCCTGCTTGTCACTTTGCAGCAGCTTCCACAGACACAAAATGGACTTCCCTGACCCTTGACTTTGGGCCGGGTTGACTTGCTTTGGCCAACAGAATGTTAGCAGAGAGGCTTACAACCTATTTGTCTGGATGAACTTGCCCTCTTGTGCTCTGTCATGGCTAAGAGAAGAATGTGCCCCAGGAGGTCCCGGTGCCAGGGAAGACAAAGGGACACGAAGAAGCCCTGAATCCAGTGTGTATCTCGGCGCCCAGCCTCCTCCTCCCGGAGTACATGCATGACCTCTGCCCCTACAATGACAAAGGCCTCTTTGAGCGCAAGCTCAGCCCAGATCTGCCTTCCTGCAGATACATGGGTGATGAGTTTGGGCATGTCCTGCCACACAGCACTATTATGGCAACGGCTGACAAAGAGAATGAAAATTATCGAAAACAACTGGAATAGATACCTAGGACATTGGAAGTCCGTGTTCTCTACAATGGTTCATGATTTTCCTGCCTCTGCACGTTCCAGTTCTTCCCGCCAGCTTTTTTCTTCAAAGAAACTGTCGAAATTCCCCCCATCTTCCAAATCTATTTGAAAAGGTTGAGGTTTTCGTAGTTACTGTGGTCACCAGTCAGTAAGAGATGTCTCTGGCATGATAATGTAATCACCGAGAGGTACAATATACACGCACAGACACCAGATTCCACCTGGAAGAAAGTCAGTCATATAAACATATCCTCCACGAGCAGCTGCTACAAATATGTTTGATGCTGTGTGCAAGCGTTATATGTGCCTGTTTGAAAAAAGCCACCAGAGGTTGGCTGAGAGCATCCGAAAGCAAAAGCGGTTCCAGTTTTATAGGGGCATTAAACCTTTAGAGCTTGGTAAAAATAACTTAATTATGAACGAACATTTTATATTAAGGACTAAATTCAGTAATTTGTTAAATTAAAATTTTTCATCAAAAATGTATTGGATAAAAAGCCTTTTCTGCTCTAACATAAGGTTCTAATTAAACAAAGAAGAAGAAAGAATAAAAATTGGGAGATAAAATAGGGAAACCAGAAGGTGGCTAAACCATATACACATTAACAAAAGCGGTTTTCAAACCAAACAAATTCACAAGGATAACACCTCTTTCTCTTCCCGGATTTGGCTTCTGACCCCTCCCTCCTCGGCAAATCTGACTGCCTCGTTCTGCCCCACAATAGCTGCCATCCTTCTGGCATCTTTCGGTCCCAAACCCTCTGCCACCAGGCGGGACTCATTTCCCCGGCTGGAAAGCCTTTCCAGTTGTGCTCTGTCTTCCCCACAGGGGCTTCTATGCAGAAGACCGCATGTGTGAGCACTGTAGCTCTCCTTGCAGAACATGCGAAGGAAACGCCACCAACTGCCTCTCTTGCCAAGGAAGCCTCATCCTGCACCAGGGAGCATGCCGGGAAGCCTGCCCTGAGAGGCACGTGGCCGTGGAGGGGGTGTGCAAGCATTGCCCTGAGAGGTGTCAGGACTGCATCCATGAGAAGACATGCAAAGGTACGTGGGAGCATCCCAGGGGAGAGGGTGGCTCCCCCAAGCCACCGCCCCTGGGGACCAACTATGGCGGGGGTGGGGGGGAAGCTATGCAGAATGGAGGGAACCAGTCTCCTTATCTTTCCTGAAATATAACCACCTCCATGCACATCACTGAGAAAATCAAGGGCGTTCTTCAAGCGACGACAAGTGAAAGCCCCTCTTCTGCATGATTTCTTCTGCACAGGTGTACTGAGCACTTAGGGATGCGCCAAGCACCATACCACAGCTGCTAGAGATCTGAATAAGAACCCGAAGTTCCTGCCTCTTTGTGCACAAAATCTTATAGGGAGGCTGATATTAATGAAACACAGAGGAAGCTAGAGAATTCCAACTGTTACAAAAGATAGGAAAGAGGTCAGGCGAAGACAGCAAGACTCAGAATAGCACTCTGGCTAGGAATTCTTTCTCTGGAATTATCTCCAAGAAGGGCTAATTTCCTCTCCAGAGCAAGACCCATTGAACTGATGCTGTTCTATCAAAAGGATTCTCTTGGTGTGACCCAAAGCGTTTTCTTGGTTTCCCCCCAAATAAGAGGATGAATACAGATGAAAGAAACCCACAACGCATGCCTCACACTGAGTTACCATGTCCACGTCACTGATCCACCCTATCAGTGAATGAAAACATAACTAACTCAAGAATGTTTAAGCCACCTTTGGGCTGAATAGAGCATGCTTTTCGGGTTTTCAACAATACCTCCAGCATCTCAGCCATAGATGGTCTGCCACAGCACTGCAATTTTTTACACCTTTGAGGAGCAGGTCATTTCGGGCTGTAAACCCAGCACCATGTCATCAGGCCACCGTAGGTGGTCTTCTCTCCCAAAGCTTAGAGATGTGGGGGATGTGCCCTGGCAGGCTTGGCATGGGGGCATATGCCTGGAACACTCAGGTCAAAGGAGCCAGTGTGGTCCGGACAGGCTAGCCCACTCCGGAGGGAACAAATTCCTTTCTCCTGTGCCCGAGGGGGTAACTTGTTGCTTCCTCCTTCCCCCAGAGTGTATGCCTAAGTCCTTCCTGTACCAGGATATGTGTCAGCCATCCTGTCCCCGTGGCTTCTACGCGGACATACGAGAGTGTGTCCCCTGCCACGAAGACTGTCTGGAGTGTAGTGGCCCCTCGGCGGATGACTGTGACCTCTGTGCGGAGCCATCCCTGGTTCTCTACGACGGACGGTGTTTGGATGAATGTCCAGTGGGAACTTACTATGAAAAAGAGACTAAGGACTGCAGAGGTAAAGGCTTGCGTGCGTATGGCCAGGCATCCCAGGGAGCCTGCCACAGTGATGGGTTTCTGCTGAGACAAAGCAGGTGCTGGGGTTTGCCGAGTTCCAGCCCCGGAGCTGTCATCCCATCTGTTTCCCTCCTGCTCAACAAAGCAGATTTTTGAATCTGCTCTAATTTATTATTTTTTAAATGAATCATTCATAAGCTTTGACCATGTAATTTTTCTTAATAACAAATCAGATTGACCCTCCTCACAACACGGGCTCTGAACTGCTGATCAAAAAGAATTCTCACGTGAAGTTTCACAGCAGAGATAAGCCTTCAAAAGTCACCCAAAATGGACGTTTTTTTGTTTTTTGTTTTTTTCCTTAAACCTTGAAGCCACTAAAGATTGACAGCAGCTCAGGGAGAATTGTGCCACAGAGGATTTTCTTGGTGCCTCTTGGGTCCCTTATCAGTTTTCTCCCTGTGGTCCCCGCCCCCCACCCCGACCCCGTGGCTCCTCATCTGCTTCAGCAGCTCCTGCCCTGGGACCCCCACTCAGCACATCAACGCCGACCCACTCAAGGAGGGATCTGCTCTCATTTATGCCTCCTTCTGTTTTCCCTGGTATCAACTGTTGGCCTCAGAACAGGAAAAATAACAGGTCTATTATGAGAATTCTCAAACCATTGAATCACTCTGGGTGAACTTCTCCAGAGTTTCAGGCTTCACTCCAGCTAGGCGGCCAGTGGTAACTTCACCCCAGGTCGCCACCTAGCAAGCACTAGACTATGCAGAGGTGGTCCCAACAGCAGCGAGAGCTTGAGGGTGAGAAACCCCAGGCCCCGCCCCCCCACATTCCAGAACGTACTCAGGAGACCGATTTTCATGTCCTAGGACATGAAGATGGAGCTGACTACTCGCAGCTTTCTGCTCTAGCACTATGATCAACACACCTTGTTGTGTTTTATGTAAGGCACCCTTTACTGTCAATATCCCACCTGAAAGACCATGGACTAGAACATGGCGGAAGACATGGCGGCAGTGAGCTTGGGGCCAGTTTCCTTGAGAAGTTTAGCAACTTGGCCAAAGCCCGTCATGCCTGTACTCAGACAGGAACTAAGGGTCAATTTCTGCCTTTCTCTGGTGTTCAATAATAAAGGTAATTTGCCATACAGAGAACTTTGCAGGCCTCACAGTGCATTTACTTGATTTAATTTTCTCATTGAGAGAGGCCCCTGGATCCCATCCCTGGTTGCCCATTAGAATCACCTGGAGAGTTAAAAAAAAAAAAAAATACCACTGTACAGATGCCTGGGCTCCCCTCAGACCAACTCAACCATAGGGAACTAACTTGAGGGCTTTCCCTACAAGGTGATGGCTCCTTCCACCAGTCCAAAGGCAGGCTGAGGGAAGCTGGTACTGGAAGAAACAGGGTGGCCACCGGACTTTCCAGAAAGAAGAAACAAAGGACCTGACTTGAAAAATTAAGATTTGAGTAGATGTGGAGAAGCATCCAGAACCAAGCAGGATCTCTTCCAAGAAACACAAGGGCTTGGGATCCATTTGGATCATCCAAATTATCCTATGAGAGAGCGTAGGCACCTCTAAGAATCCCACCCCTACCCCCAGGCACAGGGGCAGAAACAGCAAGAACTCTGACTAAGCTCCTGGGTTCAACGTCTAACCCTGCCCGTTTCCAGCCCAGTGACTTAGCACCTTCAGCCTCAATTTCCTGATCTAGATAACATGAGATGACCAGAATGCCATGTGTCTGTTCATTCAGGGAGCACTTCCTGGGGGCCTCCTATGTGCTGTGTGCTCCTCTAGGCCTAGGGAAAAGCAGGGGACAATACAGACAGAATACGGGGCGGGGGGAGACAGACCCTAAAAAAGGTAAGTCAAAAGGAAAAGTAAGTCAGGGCAGGGGAACAGGAAGCTGGACAGGATGGAGTTGAAATTAGAGTGAAGGCATCCTGAAGACATCATAGAAAAACAGAGGGAACAAGCCACACATATATCTAGGAGAACCACACTCTGCCTATACTCTAGGCAGAGCGAACGGCAATTGCTAAAACCCCGAGGTAGGAATGAATTGTTTTGATTTTATTTGTCTAAGAAAAGTTACTGAGTGCCTGTTACATGCCAGGTCCTCTCACAGGTACTGTGCACTCATCAATGAACACAAAAGAGGCCTTTTTTTGATCAACAGGCAATTACAGTACATCCCAACAACTGTTGTTAGTGATAAGCTCGAGTTGTTCTGGGAGGTCAGTGGAGCACCACAGAGTAAGAGTTATGGGGTAAGCAAGCTACAGACCAGTGTATGACCATACCCTACAGAATTGCTTATTGTTTTGTTGCAGTTTTGGTAACTACACTGAGTCTAATATTTCTGGATGTGGCAAGAAGGGGTTCTCTAGATATTACAGAGAATGTGAAATGGCCATTTTTCTTCTCATTTGATAAGAATGCTCTACCCAGAGCCCAAGGGCTCTACCCAACTAGTGGCCCCCATGCCCTGGACCCAGAGCCCTAGAAATCTCTGAAAGAAAAGGGAAAGGGATGTGAACACAACTTCTAGGGGCGCCCTGGGCCTCTCTCACTTGGTCTTCTGCCCCCACCGTGCCCACAGATTGCCACAAGTCCTGCCAGACCTGCTCATCACCTGGGATTTGCACGGCCTGTCAGGAGGGCCTTCTGGTCAACCACCATGGGGACTGCGTGCCTCACAAGGAATGTGCCTCCTTTGAGTACTGGGATGTGGAGGCTCTGAGATGCAAGCCCTGCCATGCTAAGTGCTTCCGCTGCACGGGGCCTGCTGAGGACCAGTGTCTCGCCTGCCAGAGGGACAACCTTCTTTTCAGTGAGTCACATGTCCTCTGAGGAGGGCTCTCTCTTTCCCTCCATCTGGGAAACCACCTTGCATGACACCTGGTGCCCAGATGTTTGGTGTCTTTCTAATTTTTCACTTTGTATTTGGAAAATTTTCAAACCTACAGAAAAGACAAAAGTATGAAGAACACCACACACGTGCCCTTCACCCACTTCGCCCACCGCTAATTGGGTGTCCCATTTGCTTAATCATTCACGTGCTCGCTCTTGACTGTCTCAATGTGTAATGCCTACATAATCCACAATAAATTTTTTCTTGACCATCTGAGGATGTGATATACACATCGTGACTCCTTTTGCATAAATACTTTAGTATGTATTTCCTAAAACTAAGGATACTTTTTGACATAGCCATGGTACAGTTGTTGATGCAAGTGAATTTAACATCAATACTTCACTATATCATCTGTTTTATAATTTTGGCAATTCCTCCTTGGAAAAGGATCCAGTCTCCAATCAGGTATTGCTTTCAGTTGCCAGGTCTCTGTAGCCCCATTAAAATGAAACATTTCCACAGCCATTTTTTTCTATAGAATATTGACATTTTAGAAGAATACAGTCCCTATCCCTCCAGTGGAGTCTGTGTGAGGTGTCCCACAATTAGAGATGATTCATTCTCAGCCAGAATACTTCACAGGTGATGTCGTGTCCTCCTGGAGAGCCAGGATGTCACCTGCCCCTCACCAGTGACGCTAACTGTGGTCATCTGTTCAGAGTGCTATCCAATGTCTCCACTGCTGAGTTACTGTTTTCCCTTGCGATTAATAAGCAGTCTGTGGAGAGACACTTTACAAACATGCAGGGATTCAGCCCCTCATCAAAATTTCCCCTGGATTTTGCATCCAGGGATTAATAAATCTTCTTGAAGTCTGGCATGGTCTGAGGTTGGCCACCTCCAGCAGATCTTATCACAGATGTGAAGCATGCCCTCAGGTTTCCAGGGATTCCATGATTAGGCTAATACAGGTACGTGAGAAAGAAAATGAGACAAAGCTCACTCAGCTAAAAGCAGCAGCAGCGGAGGGGAGTAGGAGAGAGGGAAGGAAGAGATGAACATGCTGAAGACCTGGAAAGGGTTAGCATCTATCTCCCCAACCCACGCAGATCTGAGAAGCAAGACCCTCACAAGGACACCATCTCATTCCCCCTGCATCCTCCCCTCCCACGATGGTTCACTCAAGGGAGCACAGAGAAGAGGTTTGGGAGACATGCATCATACTTGATACCAAGACAGACTCTTTTCCTTTCTTGACAGACATGACCTGCTTGCATGACTGCCCCGAGGGCTACTATGCTGATGAGGACAGCCACCAATGTGTCCCCTGCCACAACTCTTGTAGGACGTGTGAAGGGAGACACAGCACACAATGCCTCTCCTGCCAACCAGGCTTGCTCCAGCTGGAAAAGCAGTGCCTGCTGCAGTGCCGGGAAGGGTAAGGTGCCCAACACACGTTTCCCTCATTTAGTCCCCAAACCAGGCAGGCAGCACTAACAGCAAACCCATTTTGCAGATGAGGAAGCTAAGTTATATAACACCACGTTGAAGTCTCAGTGCTAGGAAGAAATGAAGATCAGATTCCAACCAAGATCTACTGATCTCTAAAGGATTTCAGCTAGGGGCACCTGGCTGGCTCAGTCGGTAGAGCACGTGACTCTTGATCTTGGGTTCATGAGTTTGAGCCTCATGTTGGGTGTAGAGATTACTTAAATAAATATCTTTAAAAAAAAATTTCAACTAATTCATAGTAATGGATGAGGACATAGGAGAGGCAGAGTGACCCAGTGAGAAAACATGAAGGGTTGATCATCAAGTTGGAATCATGAGTCAAACTTCACTACTAATTTGAAGGTACAAGCAAACACAAGGCAAAGGCAAAGCATTCTTCCCTTAGAGAAGTCTAAGACCATAAATGTAGGTTCTTCCTCTTCTGCATTAGGATTCATTCTGATCAGATTTGGTAGGTGAGGTCTAAGCAATGTATGCAGAGCATTGATTTTACAAAGGGAACAATTTCAATTAAATATTCCCACTTATACGCCACCAATACTCCAACCTGCCATGCCCCCATAAATCTACAACTTACAGGTTTAATTACATAAGCAACCTAGATACACAGATGTATGCTCCTAAAAGCACGTCACAAATAAGAACTCTATCATTTTTTGCTAGGAAAAACTTTTAGTGTATTTATCAGAAAGTCTGGTTACCAGCATATTTGAAAGAGGATTTGAGTGGGTCATCCCTTTTCTCCCGCCAGGAATGTCCAGTAAAGAGAAAGATGGATTACAGGCCCGTTGCTAATTCTTCCTTCCCAATCAGTAACCTAAGGCACCGAGCATTTCCAGACCCAAATTGAAAGGCTTGGACTTTCCCCAGTGCTTCTGCCCAGATGAGACATCACGTTTCTTTCCTTCAGTTCTATAGTAATTCCTGCCTGCATTACTCACCGTAGTGCTTTACACTGCCCTCATCCATTCACTCATTCGTTCCACACATGTCTAATGAAGAGCACCTGGATGTAAAATACAAAGATTTTGACCTTCAAGAATTAGTTCTTCCTGGGGCACCTGGGTGGCTCAATCAGTTAAGCATCTGCCTTCGGCTCAGGTCACGATCCTGGGGTCCTGGGATTGAGTCCCACATCGGGCTCCCTGCTCAGCTAGGAGTCTCCTTCTCCCTCTCCCTCTGCCCCTCCACCCCCACTCATGCTCTTTCTCTCTCAATGTCTCTCAAATAAATAAATCTTTTTTTTAACGATTTTATTTATTTATTTGAGAGAGAGAGAATGAGAGATAGAGAGCACGAGAGGGAAGAGGGTCAGAGGGAGAAGCAGACTCCCCGCTGAGCAGGGAGCCTGATGTGGGACTCGATCCTGGGACTCCAGGATCATGACCTGAGCTGAAGGCAGTTGCTTAACCAACTGAGCCACCCAGGTGTCCAATAAATAAATCTTTTTAAAAAAAAGAATTGATTCTTCCTATATATTTCTTACCAAGAAAATTATAAGCACCTGGAAAAAAAAAAAACTCTTATTTTTCACACATATTACTACAATGCTCAGCACAGAGTCACACACCTCAGCCCTGAAAAACACCAGCCATATGGATCCATGAAGAAAGGGCCCTACCCAACAAGAGAGGGGATAGGGCCACCCAGCTTAGCCTTTCCCCCTCATTCCAGAAAGTGCCCAAAAAGATCTGGATCCAATGAAAGAAATCTCCATCTCCCCCAAATCAAGTCATTAAATACTTTTTACACAAAAGGGCATAATCCTGTCATCTAAATAGTTGTAGACCATCAGATTAAGAAGACAATTTTTCCGGGCACCTGGGTGGCTCAGTCGTTAAGCGTCTGCCTTCAGCTCAGGTCGTGATCCCAGGGTCCTGGGATCGAGCCCCACATCGGGCTCCCTGCTCTGCAGGAAGCCTGCTTCTCCCTCTCCCACTCCCCCTGCTTGTGTTCCATCTCTTGCTGTCTGTCTGTCAAATAAATAAATAAAATCTTAAAAAAATTAAAAGAAGACAATTTTTCCATTGGGAAGTATGTGAAGTTACTCACTGGGGAGGAGAGGCACAGGCTGCCATAAAACTCTTTAACGGGGTATTAATGAGGTATAAGTGGAAATATTTAACAGCGATGGTTCCTTTTATAAAATTGATGTTCCATGCGCATTGCATCAATCTCATATGGTAAATATCCTTGCCTCGGAAAGGCAGGAATATGATCCTCTGAACCCTTTACCCACACCCATAATTATTTTAGTGTTTAACCTCAGAGCAGGTTTTTTTTTTTTAAAGATTTTTGTTTATTTGTCAGAGAGAGAAAGAGCCCAAGCAGGGGGAGTGGCAGGCAGAGGGAGAAGCAGGCTCCCCACTGAGAAGGAGCCCAATGCGGGACTCGATCCCAGGACCCTGGGATCATGACCTGAGTCAAAGGCAGATGCTTAACTGACTGACCCACCCTGGAGCCCCGTGGCCATCTATCTTAAAAACAACCTATCACATTAGTAACATTAGTAAAGAACATGTATGCTGCTTTGGAGTTTACCAAGTATTTCTACTCAGAATATATTTTTATATTATGATTCGGTTCTCCAACAATCCTCGGAGATCCACTTATTCTCCCCATCTTACAGATGACAAAATTGAGGCTCAAAGAGGTTAAGTGACTTGCCCAACGTCACAAGGCTACTCATACACCGTGGGGCCAAGACGAGAAATCAGATCTTCTGACTTCACACCCCTGTATTTTCTGTGTGGAAAGGTGTGCGTTTCTACCTTTTCCCATAGCTTTCTCTTTCGAGTCTTCTGTCGCCTTTATTGGCTCTTTAGTTCCTGACTGATGCTTTCTTTGTCCTCCCTTCATCACCCTGTCTCTCTCACCCCCCAGGCTTACTGATTGACTCGGCAGTACTTTTCCTCTCCTAATGGCAGAAGGTAAAACAAGGCCTGATTTGCCACAAGCTGGGCCACTGAGGTACAAGTGCTCAAGTCAGGGACAGGTGGCGAGGGAGAGGCAGACTCAGCACTACCTTGTCCTGGTTTTAGTTTCCAATGACTTAGTGGAACTGAAATAAGCTTTAGGGAACCTCACGCGGCAAATAGTTTCAGGCCGGAGAAGCCAAGGGCAAACCATCAAGTTTCAAGGACAGCTTCAATGTGCCAGGGTCCAGAGATGCCAAAAAGGGTCAGATGATGTCTAGAAGTTCATCTTTGTCAACGATTTCTTTTCTCTCTTCTATCTAACTTTAAAAATTTTTATTTACTTTGCCTTGCTTTGTTATAGCGGTAAACAGGTTCAAATCACATGAGCCCACTTCATGAGCTGTTTGACATTAAGCCAATTGTCTAAATTCTCTGAGCCTTAATTTTTACTTACGTAAAATAGGGATGATAATATCTAAATCATGAGGTTTGCTTTGAGATTTAATCATACAATTCATAATTATCACGAATATGTGTGATTTATAATGTGCCAGGCGCTGTTCTAACAATTTTCTCAACAATAACTTGTTTAGTTTTAGCTACTAACATTAGCCACATATTACAGACCTGAGACAGAGATGTTGTGGGACTTGCCCAAGGTTTCACAGCTCATAAGTGGAATTGCTTGGCTTTGACCCCATGCAGTTTGTTCCAGAAGGCAAGCTCCAGACTGCATGGCTCTAGTGTCTCCCTTTTAGGTTCAAGAAGGTGAAATAATGTCTATGAAGTCCCTAGTGTACCACCAGGTACATAGTAAAAAGGTAATGAACAGTGATTATGGTTATATTTAGCCTCCAAAAGTTTTTTCAGAGGTTACATCTATTATGATGTAAACATTAGCATCATTTATGTCATTTTTCTATTTCAAGATAGATTTTATTTATTTATTTGTCAGAGGAAGAGAGAGAGACAGCGTGCACAAGCAGGGGGAGGGGCAGAGGCAGAGGGAGAAGCAGACTCCCAGCTGAGCCCGATGTGGGGGCTCGATCCCAGGACCCTGGGATCATGACCTGAGCCAAAGGCAAACACTTAACCAACTGAGCCACCCCCAGACGTCCCCCAAGATAGGAGATGTTTTTTAAAATTGCGAAACTCGAAGTATCACTCAGAGGTACATCAAAAACATCTTCCATACCCTGATCCCAGTCAACAAAACGTGAAGTTTGAATCTTCCAGTGGAGAAGCACATGGGTATAGAGAAGGCAAAAGTAGTGAATAATTATTATGGTTCTACTGCATGTGTTAAGTCCTTTCGTGTGTGTTACCTAATTCAAAATTCACAAAAAGCAGGGGAGGGGTTGTAGTGCCCAATTTAAAGATGAGAAAACTGATTTATATTGTAGTACCCAATTTAAAGGTAAGAAAACTGAGTCATTAGATTTATTAGTATCACTACAGGCATACCTCGGAGATGCCGCAGTTCACTTCCAGACCACTGCAATAAAGTGAATATTGCAATAGAGCAAGTTCAAATGAAGTTTTCAGTTTCCCGGGGCATATATGTAAAAGTTAGGCTTACACGATACTCTAGCCCATTAAGTGTGCAATAGCATTATGTCTAAAAGAGCAATCTACATACCTAAATTAAAAAATACTTAATTGCCAAAAAATGCTAACCATCATCTGAGCTTTCAGTAATCACTGATCACAGATGTCCATAACAAGTATTATAATAATAATGAAAAAGTTTGAAATATTGCAAGAATTACCAAAATGTGACAGAAACATGAAGTGAGCAAGTGGTATTGGAAAAACAGCACTGAAAGACTTGCCCCAATGTGCAGTAGCTGCGAAGCGCAATAAAGCTAAGTGTAATAATATGAGGTGTGCCCATAGTAACGTATCTACTGAGTAACGGTAACAAGTAGAGTCTTAAGTCACCCAGCCTGGAACCGAACACCCCATGCGACTCACCCTGATTTTTCCACCACACCCAACTTAAGAGCAAAGCTTATTCAGTCTTTGTTTCCCCGCTTGGTTTCAGATATTACGCAGAAATCTCCACGGGACGGTGCAAGAGGTGCAGCAAGAGCTGCAAGGCATGCCAGGGCCCGCGGCCCACCGACTGCCTGTCTTGCGATTCGTTTTTCTTTCTGCTCCGCATCAAGGGAGAGTGTCATCGCACCTGCCCAGAGCATTACTATGCAGAGCAAGGCACACGGACGTGTGAGAGATGCCACCCGACCTGCGACAAATGCAAAGGTGAGGGTGTATCTGTCGTTTTGCCCGTGTAGATGGGAAGATGAGGATTCCTTTGTGCCTGGCCCCTCTGTTTTCATCACCTGCAGAGCTTTCTCTCGCTTGCCAACCCGGCCAATCCTCTCCAGCATCAGCACCTCTCCCCTGGACCGCCCCCCTGCACTATCCTGCCGTCTCTTCAGACCCTCCCAGCCTTCCAGGCCCAGATACAAGCATCGTCTCCCCCCAGGAGGTGCTTCCCACCTGCTCTGTCCTCCTCAGCTTGTTGAACTTGGAATCTGCCTAGGGAGTTTTATTTTTATTATTACAACAGCTACTTAAGATGTCTGTCTCTAGCTCTCCCAAGCTCCGTTCTCACTTTCCTGAGACCGACTTCTCTTTCCCAGAGAACCCTAGAATCAACATGTCCCAGAATAAACACAATCTGGGTTTCCTCTGATAGTCACTCTTTCTGTTAATGGACCCGCTATCCAACCAATACCTTAACGATATCCTCCCCTTGCCTCCTGCCCAACCCACCTGCTCTCCAACAAAGGTAAACTTCAAGATCTGCTGATTTTCTCTCCTAAGCATTTCTGTACTCAGATCTCTCTCATTCTAAGCATCTCTCCGTCAACTTTCTGAAGTACCAGCATGTGACCTCGACTCTGGTCTTGCCACCCCCAGGTCATCCTGTACAGTAATGTCAGAGTGATCAAAAATTCCCATCTGCTGGGCATGGAAAGATGATCAGTGTGAATTATTCTCAACATTGAAGAAATACCTCCTACAGTGTTTTAATTGTTAAAACTTATTAGGTTAATATTTGTAGTTGGTACAGTACATTTCTGCTATCCTTTTCAAAATTATCTTGGCTATCTCCAGCCCCATTGTTTGTTTTTAAGATTTCATTAATTGATTTGACAGAGAGAGCGAGCACAGGTAGGGGGAACAGCCGACAGAGGGAGAAGCAGGCTCCTCGCCAAGCAGGGAGCCCAATGTGGGGCTTGATCCCAGGACCCCGGGATCACGACCCAAGCTGAAGGCAGCAGCTTAATTGACTGAGCCACCCAGGCGCCCCTCCAGCCCCTTTTCTATATAAATTTTATACACAGTCACATTTCATTTAAAAAAAAAATCTCTTGGACATTAACTCGCTTTAACTGAATTTATTTGGGGGAGGGGAAATCCATCTTTATGATCCTGACTCATCACATCTATGAACATTGCTATATCTCTGCAATCTATGCATTTACTTTTTGTCCTTCAATAAATGTCCAATAATTTTAATTTTTAAAAGGTGATTAAGGTCTTTCCCCAGCCAGTCCTTTTAGCTTATGACCTTGCCTCTCCTTCCATGTGCTCTAGAACCTAGAGCCACTCAGCAGCTACCAAACTCATTATACTCCTTCATGCCTCTGTGCCTTTTGTCTATGTGTTTCCTCTTTCTGGGGAATGATGCTGTAGGCAACTCTCAACTTAGAAGACCCAGCTTGGGCATCGTTTCCTCCGCGAAGCTTTTCTTACTCCTCCCAGAAATGTTCTTCCTTCTTCTGGTTCTGTAATATACTGCTTTATCATAGCTCTTTTTACATTAATTTTAATTAATCATGTCCATCTCGCCTAGTAACTGTGAGACCCTCAGAGCTAGGATTATGTCACATTTATTTTGTATACCCTGTTCTAGTCTAGACTGTAACACATAGTAAGTGCTCATTTAGTGTTTGCTGATTGAATGAACACAAAACAAACAAATCCTAAAGTCTTTTTGCAAATTGGAAAATTCTCCATTATTATATCTCCAAATGTTGCTTCTCCACCCTTTCCTCTAATCTCCTTTTCTGGAATTCCTTATTTAATGTCACTCAGACTTTCCTGATCTCTATGTCTCCTACCTACTGTTTTATATTTGTACTTCTTTGACTCGCTGTGGTTTATACTAGGTTAATTCATCAGCACTCTATTCCATTTCTCTAATTTGTTCTCTGTACTTAGTCTAAAGTTCAGCCCATCTATTATTTTAGGGGTTTTTTTTTAATTTAAATAACTTACTTTTAAATTTTTAAAGTATTTCTTTATACCCATCTCTTTTTGTTTCATATCTTCCTATTTATATTTCCTAATTGACCCTTTCTTTATAGGTATTCCGTCTTTTTATTTTTTGAATATCTTTAATATACTGACTTTTAAAACTTTGTCAAGCTTCTCTATAAAACTGAAGTTTTTTTTATTTGAAGTAAATTCGTGTTCTAATTGTTGATTGTGTTTATCATCTTAGTGTTCATTTTCTCCATATATTTTGGATTTTTGGTCTTGAGTTCCTTCTGAATGGGAAATTTCATCCTTCACTCCCCTCTTCTCTCTCCCTCTTTATCCTTACTCCTCTCAGCCTAGCAGTATTTTGGGTTAACTCTGCCTGTTCCTCCCACCCTGAAACTCAGTCCAGAAATAGGACATCCCAGCATTCCTGAAGGGGATGCTGATGACAACGCAGATCCCATCAGCAACCCAACTGGCAGCCCCAGAGAGTTCCTGGTCAGGGGGTGAGGTCTAGAGGGGCAGTGTCCCCCTTTGACTCTTGTTTTAAGATCTCAGCCTGGATTTTGGCCCACATCTAACATGAAACACTTTTAGTTCCTATTATGATAGAAAATTTAAACTCACAGCCACCATCCCCTATATCTAGACCCAGAGCAAAGCAGGTGGGTGGCATGAATCAGACAACTATTATATATTTATATTCCTTTTCTGGTCCAAAGTGATTTCATCTTATTTTTGAGCCCACCTAGCCTTTATTTATTTTTGGTTCTTTTTATATTTATTCTACCATTTCAGTATGTGGAGTGTATGGGTTAGGTCAAAATCTGAAATCATATATGATTTTTTTTTTAATGTATGTGTGTTATAATGGATAATCAGATTCTTAGCAAAGCATTATGCCCTAAACTATCCTTCTGCAAATACAAATGCCTAGGGGGTCGGTACATTTTAGAGTGTTTGTTTTGGGTTTTTTGGTACTTAATACTTTTAAATGAAATAAGCAAAGGCCAACCTGTTAGAGCCTGCTTCTAATCTTGCTTCCTTTCCCTTCCAAAATGATTCATCTTGGAGCAGTTAGTTGACTACATAGAAACATCAAGAATGGAGATGAGAAATCAGCTCCTTCCCCACACTGGGAGAAGATCATCAGCCACCCTTGCTGTCTACCCACTAAATTGATCTTCCTAAGTACCATCTTGATGATATTTTAAAATGACTTCTCCCCAGGTGCTTCCCAAGTACACAGGAATATAGTCTTCTCCAGATTGAAGGTGGCTTCCATTATCACTTATGTCTTAATGCCCCAAATCTACTTCTCTTTCCCAAATGGTTTTCCTGAGCTCTAGTTCCATACATCCAATTGCCTGTTAATCTAATGAGTTGCTCAACACCTTGAACTTGATATGTAAATGCATTTTTCTCCAGCCCACCTCACCCCATTCATAGACACCTTTTTCTATGCTCCCCATCTTGATGAATGGTTCCACCACTGACCCAGTTGCCTGAGGCAGGAACCTGGTCATTTCCCTCTTATCCTCCTGTCTCAACCCTCACATTCGATTTGTCCTCAAGTCCTGTCAAATCCATGCCTATCTCTTAATTCTCTCTCTCCCCTCTTTGCTTTGTAGTATTACTGCCTTAGTTCAGACTTGTATGTCCCCTTACCTGAGTTATTCACCAGTCTCTGACTTTCTTACTTCCAGTATTAGCCACTCTATAACCAACCAGTCCTCTATTATGTTCTCAGATTGATCTTTCTATGTGACAAATACCATAATGATACTTCTCTGCTTAAAAATGACTCTCCAGGGCGCCTGGGTGGCTCAGTTGTTAAGCGTCTGCCTTGAGCTCAGGTCATGATCCCAGGGTCCTGGGATCGAGCCCCATGTTGGGCACCCTACTCAGCAAGAAGCCTGTTTCTCCCTCTCCCACTCCCCCTGCTTGTGTTCCCTCTCCCACTGTGTCCCTATCAAATAAATAAATAAAATCTTTAAAAAAAAAAGATTACTTAAAAAAAAATGACTCTCCACTGGGGGCACCTGCATGCCCCCAGCACAGTTAAGCGTACAATTCTTGGTTTTGGCTCAGGTCATGATCTCAGGGTCCCAGGATCAAGCCCTGCATCAGGCTCTGCACTCAACAAGGAGTCTGCTGGTACCTCTCTCTCTGTTCCTCCCTCACACTCACTCATGTTCTCTCTCTCAAATAAATGAAACAATCTTTTTAAATAAAATGACTCTCTTTCCATTGATTTTAGAATAGAATCTTGACTTAGTAACTCTGCAGAGTTACTTAGAACCTCATAGAGGTTCTTCATCCTGGGACTCACCTCACCCCTCACCACCTTCTCCACCACCTTCTAAATCCAGGCAAAATTAGTTTCTGTAAACCTGAGCCAACCTTGCCCTTTCTCATTCCTGAATACTTTCTCCAGCCTACTGTGCATGGCTACCTCTTTCTAATCCATTACAGTCAATATTTCCTCTACAAAGCCATCCTTAATCCCTCTATTCTGTGTTCCTTTAGTACTCTGCATTCATCCATCTACTTAGTTCTTCAACAAATGTTTCTCCTGCTGTATGGCCCAGACAAGGATTCAACTGTGAACAAGGCAGTCAGGGCCCTGGAGCCCAGAGGGCATGTTTTATGTTATTTATTCTTTATCTCTCTCTCTCTTTAGACTGAGGTCCTCAAAGGCACAAATTAATATGTCCCACCTTTGTTTTTTGTTTTTGTTTTTTAATCTATTTATTTATTTATTAGAGAGAGAGAGAGAGCATGAGTGGGGGTAGGAGGGGTAGAAGGAAAGGGAGAAGCAGACTCCTCGCTGAGCAGGGAGCCCAACATGGGGCTCGACCCCAGGACCCTGAGATCATGACCCAAGCCGAAGGCAGCTGCTTAACTGACTGAGCCACCCAGGTGCCCCAACTCATTCACCTTTGTATCCCTACCACTTAGATGGTCACAGGGATAAGCAGTCGCGG